TTCCCAAATTTAATTTAATAATTTATTCACTTGAAGATTTACAAAAAAAATACTGACAATATGGTAAAAGCTTTTGAGGAAAAACCTTTAAGTGAATTAAATAGTTGTCTAAGTAATTATTTTGCTAGTATAAGTACTAGTTTGTCATATATTATAAGTTTGTATGCTGGTGATACAGATATGTGATAGAACTTTGTAACTAAACTTGAATTATGATTTAAAGATTATCTAAATATTAACAAAAATGCAGTTGAGTCGTTACGAAAATCTCACCCTCGATAACATTATTTTTAAAGAGCCAAAGGAGTACAAAGTAAAGGATTCAAAAATTAAGTATAAACGCATTCAAATTGAAACCAAATATCCAAATAACAAAAAAGGTAGTATGTTTTACTGATTTTCTAATCTGTGTTCGGCTTATCTTTATATCACTTCCTGTTCCATTTGCCAGTGATTTTTCTATTTTAGCGATTTGTTTGCGGGTTAGCATTAACTCATCTGAGCCGCGTAGTTGTGAATTTTTCGGACGAAGAGTAAGTGGTGATTTATTTCTGATTGCAGAAGCCAGTTTTGACTTTTGCCCATCTGTTTGTTAGTTTTACACCATATTCAATATATAGTTGTCATTTATAGTAAGAACCATATAACTTTTCATGTAAAAAAATGGCGTGGATGATATAATCAGCATTGGGTTCTCCACTTAGTTCGTAACGAAATGAAAGATCTACTTTATCTTCTCAGTATATTCGGTAGGTTAAAATAAACAAATGGAAACAAGTTTTCAAAGTTAACTCTATTAAGAAGTGTTCCGCCTTGAAAATCGTTGTTTGTGTAAATGTGGCTCATGACATCCCTGTAAACTCTTGATGGCTCTGTGGATGGTTTGTAACGTATTTTGGGATAAATATTTTCATTGCTTTAAGGTAACATCTTGTTAATTTTTTATTATTTGCGACACTAAAAGTTTGATATAAAAACGGATTGGCTGTTTGTGACTCTATATTTGCGCTGTTTACAATAAAAACATAAACATGGCGAGGTTTTGAAATAGAGTTTGTTATTCTAAAATTTCCTTCTCCTTGTCTTAAATTTGTAGAATTCGTCACGTACTCATCAAGATAAGACCAAGATTTTGTAGTTGTTGTTTTGTATTTTTTGTCAAATGTTACACGAGGAATGTATAGTAAGGCTGTTGTAGTTTTGTAATTACTACTTTACAAACATCATTACCCGCTCTCCAAATAAGGCTAAATAAGGTTGTTGTCACTTTCTAGTACAATATTTAATTCGAATTTGGAATTTGGCAACATCATATCCTTTAAAACCTTAAAAAATGAATAACTTTTAAGAGGAATTTCACAATTGACAATAATTAAATTTTTTAGTATACTTTTTCTTTTTGTAAACCCCTCATTGAAAGTAGTATCTTCATTTTCAATAAAATTTCGTGGCGTCCAACCATCGTTTGCAACATTTCTTCCGTGTTGGACTTGCCTTGATAAATATTTATTTCTGTTTGGGTTGTTATATGTATCAAGATAGTAAAATTCACTTGTTCCAACACTCTTAGTATAAGAGGGATTATACTCAAGTAAGTTTTTAATATTTACGAGATGCTTGGCAGAATTACATTGATAAACCTCTCGGCCATTAATGATTAAACTAATTTTTTTAAAAAATGAACTCGCGCCATTAACAATTCCATTGTTGTCATTGATGATTACATTATTTCCAGTTAATTTTGTTAATTTAAAATTTATTGATAATCGCGCATTATACCAATCGAGTGAAGTTTTATCGTCAACAACAAATTTACAATTACCTCTGTTTTGATAATTGTTTCTAGCAGGGTTTGTTAAAGATTGATCGAGATTAAAAACGAAATCTTTATAACCAACAAATAATCTCTAAATGATTTCATTTTATATAATGGTTATGCTAAGCTCTAAGCAGTAATTTTCCGTCTTTTTGTTCTATTTCTGCCTCTCGCTCGTGAAGAACAAGAGCGTAAATGTTATAATCAGCATTTGGATTGGCAGAAAGTTCGTAATGAAAAGCTAGTTTTGTAACTCCATCTTTTATATCCATTTTTTGTTTTGTTAGATCAAACTAAAGAATAGGGTATAGAGTTTTGTAGCTAGTTATATCAAGAATTGTTCCACCTTGAAAGTCGTTGTTTGCGTGAACATATCCTGATATACCCCTAAAAACTCTTGATAAATCTGAAGATGGTTTATAGTGAATATCAGGATATTCATTTCCATTTGCAACTTCTAAATAACATCGTGTTACATTAGCATTGTTTGGTAAATTAAAAGTATTGTACAAAAATGGATTGGTTTGTTGGTTTCCAATATTTGCTGAGGTAATTCAAAAAACAAATACATGGCGTGGTTTTGAAATAGCAGTTGTAATTGTGTAATGACCTGTTTGTTGATGCGTATTATTTGATATCTCGACGACTTCGTTAAGATAAGTCCATTTGTAAGGTTTAAGATAATTTTCCATGTAGAGTTTTTGACCTTCTGAGTTAAAAGTTAACTTTGGAATAAATAACTGACGTCTTTTTATAATAACTCTGCAATTAGCGCCAGCTTGAAAAATTAGAGTTGCATCGCTTTTCATTTCAAAATTTAGTTCAATTTTAGTGTTAGGAGGCAGTTTGTGCTTCAAAGAAAAAGTATCTGTTAATTCACAATTGACAACATATGAACCCACAATTGACCTGCTCACAACGTCAGTGGCTTCATAGCTCAGTTGGTAGAGCATCGCACCGGTAATCGCGAGGTCACGGGCTCAAACCCCGTTGAAGTCCTGAATTTTTTTCAGGCTTCTTTACGCAATTGCATAAATTGCATTCACTACGACGATCATTTCTTCATTTTCATTTCATTTCCGCAGTTCATATATGATTTATTTTATATATCATTAACAAAATGTTATATGGCGTACAAATGTGAACGTCACGAGAAATGGTGTTACCGAGATGAAGTAATAAACCTTCTTAGTTTATTGCTGCGTTGGCTTTTTTGAGCAAGATATAAGGAACTGAAGTGAAATTTGGTGGTGCTGTAATTCTGAATCTAAATCGAATCTGAAGCCAAAACAGGCGGTGTCTACTGGATAAATCATGCCTCCAGTCGATCTAGCGACGTTTTCAGCCGATCATTTACCTTGGGTCTGGGTGCCAGGCTGGATTTTAAACGTCGCAGCAGTTTCAGGAAATACGCTTGTTATTTATCTCATCGCCACCGACCGACGTCTCCAAACACAAGTAAATCTTTTTATCATGTCCCTGGCTATTGCTGATTTCTGCTTTGGCCTAACTTATTTCCCAACATTTTTCACTTGCGAATTTTACCTGCCATGTGATCGAGAACTCCGACAGATCTTCGCCGCTTACTTCGCTTTCGCTTCGTTGACTAACTTGTGCGTCATGACTGTTGACCGTTACGTTGCCATAGTGATGCCCTTTAAGTATGTTTCTATAATGACGTCACAATGCATCGTTACTATGGTAATCATCAGCTGGCTTTTTCCCGCAGTGTTCCATTTTCTTATTGCTGTCATTCTAAAACAGATTGCTTCAAAAGATATATTCATTACTTTTAAAATTTCAAGGGTGTTCGTGTCTCGGCTAATACAGTGTATGTTACTGCTTCTTACCACTATGCAGATGTTTTACATCGCATATAAACACACCAAAATGATGGCGGCCCTTGCCCTTCAGTTACAGTTTAATCATCCGATGATTCTCAAGAAATGTAAACAAGGAGTACAAATTTCCTCTGCGAAGTTTATGGGCGTGGTGGTGTTTGTTACCGTAATATGTTACGCCGCAGACTCTTGCTGAGATCTTCGAACATATTTGAGTACTTTCCAGAAAACTCTACATTGTTCTTGATTGAAATATATTTTTCAACTTGGTATTTAGTTCTTACTTTAAATTGGGAACCTTCCATGTTTGGAAGTACCTGGTTCTTTCTACAATCCCATAAAACAAAACATGCCAAAATTAACTACACGGGTTAGTTTGTCTAGTAACAATAGGGTTGCGTTGGTGCTGGAGCAGAACACAGCCAATAAAAAGTTAAAACGGAGCTTGAGCAAAAAAAGTGAGTTAACTTCGAACGTTTTGAGCGCAAATTAAAACCCTTCGTTATTCGCTCTGAAACTCTTTGAGAGGGCCAAAACATGAATTTTATCAACTCAAATGATAAAAATATCTTTCAATTTCTTACTTTCAGGCTTGTACTCAGTCGTTTATCTGTTTAATTTTAAATTTGAAGCGCGTCACTTGAGGAGTTGTGGGAAGGAAATTGAGAAACTATCGGCGTACGGTTGTAGGTTCTGTCGTCCCATTCAACGAATCTTCGCCACTTTCGTGGTCAATCTTTTCTTCCTTTAAAAACCAAAGCCACCGCGCCACACATTCTACAGAGTTCAATGAAAGCTTCTAAAACCTGAAAGCTTGAACCGGCACCTATCATGTTCTAAAAAATAAATGTTAGATTTCTATTTTATAAATATTAAATTCCTATTTTGCATGGTTGAGAAGCAAAATAAAAGGCGGCTTTTAAGCCGTATGATGAGTAAATTCCTCCCACTTAAGGGAATCCAGGACCGTCTTGGACTCTGGACTCCAAGCTGTGGATTTCGGATTTCAGGTACTGAATTCCAGTATTTGTATAAAAAAAAACTTGGATTCTGGGGCCTGTTTCTCGAAAGGCCCGGAAACTTTCCGGGCCCGAAGGCAAATTTAAAAATCAAAACCTGTTGAATAGTACCACAGTTCCTAGCTCACAAACCGGTCAATATTGCTTCGTTAACTGATAGCTTCATTGTATCATTTTCAGAATTATTCACACTTTAATCTGAATGCAAACACGCCTGCAGCTTTCCGGGCCCGAAAAGTTTCCGGGCCTTTCGAGAAACGGGGCCCTGGATTCCATCGTGGGATTCCGGATTCCTTGAAATGGATTCTGGAGTCCAAAACCTGGGATTCCGGATTCCGTAAGCAAAAGTTTCCCCAATTGCGGAATCCGGATTCTCTTCCATGGGCGAAGGAAACTTGTGGAAAAATAGTCATTTATTGATCTTCTTAGTTACTCAGACACGTCATGTTCTCCCAAGTTTATAAAATCTTCAGAATTGTCATTTTTAACTTCTACACTTGCTGTAAAATGTAATTGATGGGTGAATTTCGACGCATATTTCGTAATGGATGTTAGAAAATAAAATGAACTAGGTAGCAATTCAACATTTATGGGAAGGGTTCTAGAAAAGAGTCTCTCAGTTCCTCCACCGTCCAGTTTAAATTTGTAAGTGCGATTGTAGCATACGTTTGCTACTTCCAACGCTAAAGAGGTTAATCCGTGATCTCTTCTCAGAAATAAAAGGCATCCTAAGTGGAGGTCTTTTACAACGGTCTCCGAACCAAACATTTTACTTGGAACCCCATCGCTGACTGATTCAGCAAGATTAGTTTGATCAATAGCACATGCGCAAAGTTTAACGTCAACTGACTTGTCTGCGCATGTCTTAAACTTGCTATATCTGGACTGCCGAGTATAACTTGTCAACCAAACTTTGTCTTCCGGCTTTGCATAGTTTTTCAAAGAAACTTTAAAGACTTCGTCTTCCGTAAAACCAGCTGGAGGGACCACGTGGAGATCCATTGTCGTCAAGATGTAGTCTCCTTGGAAACGTTGCAAAATATTAGCAAATGATTTCCCCACCAAGCGCTGACAGTTTCCATAGCCATACCTTTGGGATGAGGTTACAACTTCACCAGCACCTGTAAAAAAAACGTTCGAAACAACTCGTTGAAAAGTCAATACTGAGTTTTAGGAAAGACGTTTTTGAGCGACACACGTCAACCGGAAGTGTACTTTTTGCAAAAATTCTGCCGGGTAATAATAATATTAACGCGAATATTTATACAGGATAACCTATCAGTTCTAATAAAAAGAACTGTTATCAAAACGGTCCTGTAATTATCTCATAAATAGCTAAAAAAAAAATAAAAAAGATCGAAAGAGGAAAACAAAATAACACTAAGAAATCTAAGATTCAAAAATCAAAATCTGTCAAAATTATTGACTTACGCCAAAATTTTTGGGTAAGTCATCTCCATAACAACAAAGATGCCAAACATTACGAATTTGGCAGCTTCAAGATGTATTAAAGGGGAACACGCCTCAATTTCGGTTGACGTGCTTGACTCAAAATTCCAAAACGTCTTTTTTAAACTCCCTCGGGCTAATATTCGGAGGTAGGCACGTTCGCACGTTACTACCGTTTTAGACCAGCTTATGGTGTTTTTTTATGACCACTATAAGTAGAGAATGTGTTTTACAATTTGCTGGCCCCGGCGTAAAGATCGTTTTTTTTTAGCTTCAAAACAATTTGGCGATTTCTATGAGTTAAGTGAATAACCTCGGGCCGCTATCTAAACCGATAAGAGGCTGTAATGTCAATTTCTTTTATCGGGCAAAACAAGATGTGCCAGTCTATCACACCTTTGGTATGTTTCTTTGGCTTCCTCCGCCCAACTTCGAAATGAAATTTGTTAGTTCGACGGCTTAATAACGGACGAGATTACATAACAAAGAATTTTCCATTCTCTTTTTAAACTTGAATACACTCCCTTAACAATTAATCTGTAGGAAAATGGCAATTGTCACAGACAGAATAATGACGACTTTGAAGAATAGAAATTTACTTTTCAGTGACGTTACCCTGACCTCGTCGTGGTAGCTGCTTCTTAAATAAGCTCACTATTACATGTACCTCCTAAATGTTGTGTCTGTATGGCATCATTTAAGGTCCCCAGTGCAAACTCTGCTAGCCATTTGTGGTTTTTTGAGTTGTCTTCTGCCTGGCTATAATCGTCGAACCCTTCACACTTGCACCTGGTCAACGGCATCAACTACAAATCTGCACATGTACGGTTTGCTGGTAAAACAGAAAATATCCCTACTGCCATGGAATTCTGGGAGCTCTTAGTTCAGGATGGTTTAAAGACACAAGTGCTCTATGTAGGTCCAGCAACGTAAAGAGACGCTTTTGGTTTTCAACCAGGGCCGTCATTCGCTGATGACCTAGCTTTTCAGCCACTTGGTCTGGAATTATCATAAACAGGAACGAATCAAAAGTCTCTCTTCTCCCTTCGTCAGTATAACTATACTGAGTATTCCTGCTGCCATGGTCGGAAAATATCACAGTAAGAGTGTCAGGGCTCTGAACTATCATGTTCACAAAGAACTTTGCCAAGTTGGCATCCATGTTGATCATTCGTACCCCAGTATACTCGTGTCCAGTGTTAAAGTGCATAAAGGACAGCATCGATTTGGCCTTTTTGTCTCTGTTCATGGCAGAGTAAACTTTCGTTATGTAATCCAGAAAATACTGGCTGTAAAACTCTCCGTTTAGACAAACCTGAGGTGGAGTCTCGTAATGGTTTGTCATGCTGTATTTTTTAAGTACTGTGCAGGAAAAATGTGTCAGGCCAAAGTCGTCAATATGCTTTGTACTCACTCGGGTTTGGAATTCCCTCCATCTGCAACAGAATACATTTTTTCTCATAGTAGCACCTTTAACGTAGACATTAAAGCAACACACCAAAAAACTTCGTTAAAAAAATCACGTTTTCTTCAAATCGCAATTTTTTTCGTCAACGGAAAGCTCTCTTAGTAGTGTGTACTTTCAGATAAGAAATTAAAGAACATGGTTTAGGTTATGGGCACTTTGATTGTGCACCAAATACAATTTTTCCCGTAGTAGCACCCAAATAATCGTATGCACTGAAACAGCTATCAAAAAAGTCGGAACTGAATTTGACAATCTAAGAAAAAACACAAACAAGCAAACAACTAACTATACACTCAAAACCTGCGTTATGGATTCCCTCTCAATACAGACACCCCGTTAATACGCAAAATTTCTATGGCCCTTCAGTGTCCATGTTACAGGGTTTGACTTAAGTTTTAACTTTATAGTAGGGTCTTGAAGCAAATCGCTACGGCGACCTCTACCGCGGTGGCCGGAAGTAAAAAGATCAAAAACAGCGCAGTGCGCATGCTTGGAAATTAACAGGGCGGATAAAGGTTGGAACCTTTATCCGCCCTGGTGAAGACCTGTCTTGTGGCGAAGTCACTACTATGTGAGTATAAAATTCGACCTTTCTCCTATTTTAACTAGCACTGGTTTGAAAAGCTATCATGCGCAGATTTTTTTTCACTTTATCAAGAAAGTATTTCACGCCCGGTCTGGTTTTCCAGTAATTACGTCTTCCCTGCCTACAGCGAAAGTGAATGAGCGAAAAATCCCGTAGTCACTGTTTGGGTGCCTCTTTGTTAAAGGTGGCGGACTACGGTGGTGTCTCTTGAACGTGCTCTCCCCAGGACTCCGTATCCACGACCGCCGTAATAGAGGCATCCTCGGAGACCCAGGGGCAGTCAGTCGGGTCGAGAGAAAAGGCGCGACGAAAGTTTCTTTCGTCGCGCCTTTTCTCTCGACCTGACTGACTGCCACTGGGTCTCCGAGGATGTAATAGTGGTCGCCGTAGCGATTCACTTAACGTCCCTAACATAAAAAAGATACCGTTTCCTTTATAAGTGGACTAAATTCTAAGGCCCCATTATTTTTCCGAATATTTCATAATATTGGTACCTTCCTCTCTAAACTTATGTAGTATATTTACAAAGGTACCTGTCTTCAAATTCAGTATCTCCATTAGGGCTTGCTCTTACTTGATGGTCCGTCAATGCCATACCCCAGTAGTCATACCAACAAAGATCTTCTTGGAAGAGAGTCTGGTAGCCCCATTTACTGAAGGCTCCAAACAACACTTCTACCCCCAGAGGGTCCTTTGCGGTCTTTGCTCTGTCACTGATTTCATTGTCATCTATAGAAGAAGAAAAAACAGTGTTGTATTAAATCTAAATGGAACTAAAAGGCCACAATATGCAATTTACTTTCCCACGAAACTACTAGGAGCTTGTAAGGGCCCGTTTAAGAACTTTCCGTACGTTGCACATCCGAAAGGCCCTTTGTATCTCTGGGTCAAGCTGAACTGCAAAAGGCCAATTGGAACGGGGAAGTGTGTGATTTTGAGGGGAAAATTTGGAAATCCAGAGTATCCAGAGTATCCGAAGAAAAACAAAAAAAAAGTGCAATTTCATGTTTTTAAGGTTATTTGTACTACGCACAACAAGCTTGCGATTAAATGAACTGATGAAACAAGAAGTATTTCTAGCAGTTCCCATGGACGAACGCGAAAAGTTTATTGCGGTTTATAGGGTCGATGACCTGGTAGGAACCCTGCCTAGTCCCTAGTCCCTAGGCCTCATTATTACCCGCGCAGCCTATGCCTTTCGGGTCACGTGGTCCGATCGAGTGTTCGTCTCGGATACGCCTTCGAAATGCGTTGACCGAATAGCCCTGGAAAGAAGCCGCACACGGACTAGGCATGTGGGGAGCTTGGGTCCGTTCGTTTGCACCCGCTGTTGTTGTTGTTTTTTTTTATAATAAATAAACAAATAAATGACACTTTTTACAGATGGCTCAGCCTGGACATCTAACAACAATGAAAAAGCAACATAGGAAATTTTACTGACAACTGACAATCCAACACCCTTCCCTCCATGGCTTTGCCTTCAACATCGCTAATAAAACCAGCCAGTAGGAAGCTCTAGCCCAACGACGAAGGCGACGGCAGCGACAACGTCATTTTTCACATTCCATTTGAATTGTAAATGTCATCTTCGGGGATTAATTAATGTTATTATTCATTCAAAATATTTCCCCGTTTCTGATTGGTTAAAACCACACGCATAATTCACCATAAACAGCTGCTGTTGACCAAATTTGGAAGAATTTTGCGATTAATCAAGTTGTTTATGTGAAGACAAAAATGGCGGACATTTCACTCGTTTCAAGAGTAAGAACTAGGCAAAATAATAGCTAAAAACATGGCACGAAAAGCAAGAAGACAACTAGAAGGGCGACATCTGCTATTTGGAGAATATTTGCAGAGCTGAACAACCCTAAATGTGCACTATCGAAGGTGAACTTAACATCGATGGAAGTAGGTATGTTTTAGCTATGTTTTTAAACTAGGAATTATTTTGAATGTCTTTTGAATAATAAAACAATTATTGAATTCCGCTCTCGTATCATATGAAGAAATATGGAGAAGAATTATCGCAATTGGAGAAGAATTATCGCAATTGTTACAACTCGTGATTGAAAGTCAGTGTGAATTTCTCTGGAGTCGAATTCTTGGATACCGCATCCGAGATTGGAAAGAGAAAAAATCTTCGTCCATAAAACGTCGCATAAGGACCTGGTGGCCGTAAAGTTAAGGCAAAGTAATGTACCAAAAGTGTGCTGCATGTATAAACTTTTTAATGTTTTGCTTTTTGACGTTATCGTTGCCGTCGCCGTTGCTTAAGCTCCCTATGAAAAAGCCGTTTCAACTTATAAGAGAAAAAGTGAACATCTTTGCCCGAGCCAACAGTGATCGTGCATGCTCTGATTGTCAAAAAACAGCGACAGCGCATGCCCTGCGCGTTAAATGAATTGGCCCGGCTAGGCGAGCCAAAGTTTATATGGGGGCGGGGGGGGAGGGGAGGGAGGGGTGACCCTTTCATCGGAAAAGAAGGCGAGCGGGTCGCCAACTGTTTATTCAACGCTTCTCATGTGAACGGTTCTCCGCGTTTTGCATGGAAATGTAAGAAAAATGACTTACCCTTTTTCCCGGGACCTGTTATCTCCATATAAACGGGGCCTGAATGATACGGACACTCCGTAACGTTTACCTTTGATAACACCAGAAAAGAAGGGCCTCAGGTTGTCAAAACTCTGTTGACCAACACTCTGGAACAACTCAAAATCCAACGCAGTCGCCTTGATATCGGGATCTTGTGCAATCCTGCGAAGTACCGCCACTGATCTTGGCAGAATTCGATAAAAATGCGGTCTTGCCACAGAGTCCAGCACAACCACGTTAACATTTATGTTGTTTCTCTCGCTGTCATTTTCGACTTTCTTTAGGATCGGTGGAAAGATGAGTGACTGAAGAATATTCCCACACTTTATGTACAAAAAGCCAAAGCCGTTTTTTTGGTTTGTTTTTACGGCTTCTTGTACAGTTCCAGTTATTGTCACCTTGGATGTAGGAATCCAGTCAGTGACTTTGCCCATTGCCGCATTCACAGAGCCTATGGTGATATTCGAGGACACACAAACCTCGGCGTTACATAACAGTCCGTGATTTCCAGACTTTGTTTCTTTAAACGAACATATGTCAGGGTGACGAGTCTCGTCACATTTTCGGTGTTCAATGTGCCCTGGGCGTCCGTAATATTTATAGGCTTGTGCACATCCGACTCTACTCGGTCTAGTAAAAAGTATAAGTGAAAATGAATACTATAAGGTATAGTCAACTCGCTCTAAGAGGGACATCATTAGGACAGAAAATGTTGTGTCCATCTTAGGAGAAGTCTCCGCGCTTTACCGAGCAAACAAAATGGCCGAAGAATGGTAGGGTCCAACTCTAAGTGTTCATTTCAGGGGCGTGACTTACATATATAGAGGTGTCCGTTGAGAGACAGTTGGCCGCATCTCCAACTCAAGTAGCTCAAGGTGCCCATCATATAAAATTTTTTATTTTCTTATCTGAAACTACACCCTATTAAAATAACTTTTGCGAAAAACTTGCTGGTGAAGGTGGGGGTGAAGGCAAGGTAATGCGAGTTCCTTAATTTACGTCACATGACGTCATATGTGAACCTGCTAGTTTGCGTGATCAGCGGCGCGCATGTACCACAAAAATGCAGACTTCAAAAATTGGTTAAAAAATCGCGTTTTGTTCAAATCCGAAAATTTTTTTTTTCGCAGAAGTTACTTTAATAAGGTATAGTTTCAGATAAGAAAATATAAAATTTTAGGTGATGGGCACTTTAAGGCCTGGGACTAAGGGGTTTCTTGGCTATAACTTCGGCGCAGATTAGGAAGCTGAATCAAAATTTGGCACACATAAAGAACTCATAGTCCTTAACATTTTAAACTATAAATATTGTGTTAATAAGTCACGTGATATGTCATGTGACCATTTCGCTAAAAATCGTAAATGATTGGTAACGGGTTTAAGATAAGAAATCGAGCAATAACATTTTTCTTATTCATATTCAATATTTCTAACACTTTACGTTTGAAATGACGGAGAATGAATTGTTATAAATCGCTACCAAAACACAAACACATTATCAAAGATCTAGACAACCATATATACAGGATTTTAAAACTGTAAGGTTAGGCTTATAACAAAACCGATACACTGCGCTCGCTTCAATGAACGCAAGATCACAAGAATGTGGTTCAAGCTATTTCTGCGGCCGTAGCCTCGGTGAAATTCCCATTATGCTGTAGCTGTCGGCACTTTCGGTCTGTTCTTCCCTTGGCTGATAGAAGATTTATTTGCGCATAAGGATTACAAACAGGCACTGTTTGCAAAAAAATATAAACTTGTCGATGAAAAAATTGTTACGAGAGACGATGCAAGATCTTTGTTCGCGCTGCCCAACCTTGCCCGGTAATAAAGTCCATCAAACACTTCTGATGGACGAATTTTTTTTGGTTAATGCGAATCCAGGTATGAACTAACAGATCTCTTTCACTCTGAGATAAAAATATAAATATAAACACGGCACCAAACAGTACATAAAATCTTCTGAGAAGCAGGAAATCGCCGCCTAAAATCGGCTAAAATCGATCGTCTCCGAGACAACGGATTTTTATCCAACGTCACTTTCTGATCAACTTTCTACAACATACTTTCGAAGTTATCTATATAACAGCACTCCTTCCAATCTGATTGGATGATTTCTATGACCTTTGTTGTGTGCGGACATCTAATTGATCTTGTTTGAGCGTGAAGGTCATGAGCTAGTGATACAATGTGTAAGATTTGCCGAAAATTTTGCCTTGAAGGCTAATTTGCCCAATTTGACGCGGAAAATCACTCTGTTAATTTTCGTTGTGAACAATAAAAAACGCTCTGTCTGGCTGTTTGGAGTGATGTTTTGGCGAAACACTTCACCGACAAGATTAGCATATTATTATAATTTCGAAGTTTTAACAAAGTCTACGAGTCCACAGCTTCTACGTTCCCAGGATTTCGATCAACTTTCGCGGGCCAGAAGGAGTGGAAATGATCAGCACTATAAAAGTTTATTGGCTCAGTTACGCTGTAATCAGAATGATAGGCATGTCTGGTCGAGCGCGGTTCTAGTAAAAGGTGATCGTATGCAAATTCCCTTCAAATTGGCGGCATATCTTTAAAAAGCTTCGAAGAATGAAATTTCTTACGATTGCGTTGTTGTTGAAGGATCTAACTAGGACTAAAAGGTCCTAAGGAAAGCTTTCCTTCCATTAAGCTGCAATCGGTAGCTGGTTGAGAATATGCTTGTTTAAGTCAAGAGACCGCATAGTTTTAATTACGGAACCAAGCTTTCCGCGGTGTAGGCCAGGCCGGTGTAGGCCAATCTGGTACCAGATTGTAAGTGTGTCATGGTAAAGTAAACACTCTGTTTAGCTATGACTGCAAGACCGGTTTGGGAACCAAAATGTTGGATCCTTCGTCAGTTGCTTAGGTATACCGTTACCGAGAGCTCACTAAGAGAGCTAATGCCGTAAACTAAAACTTGAGTCGGTTGATGTCGCGTGGCATACAGAATCCAGCCAGTGATTGGTTGTTTAGACATGAAGCTGACTGGATGATTTCTGTGACCTTTGTTTTGTGCAATGATAAAATAAATAAAATGTTAGTTATGTAAGAAGGGAGCAATTAATGATCTACCTATGATGATATATCTATCTGAAGTATTACATTAAGGGCGTGTTCGACTGACGGTATTCCGGAATAGACCTCTTTCATATTGGCGGCCGATTATTATTATATTCTTTTTTAGTAACATCCAACTAGTGGTCTATTATCAATGCTGCGTTCTGATTGGTTGAGCTACTACTAGGCTATATGGTATAGCCCACTAGTCGCGAAAAGCGCTTGCTTTTTGGCGGCAAAAAAGGACTAAAGTCTAGCTTTAACTAGCCAAACGTGTTTTGTCTTGATATTTTTGACCAACTAGTTGGATTTTACTAAAACAATTATTTCTCTCGCCCTGATGGCCTCTGCGAGTCAATAGCCCATTCGGCCTTCGGCCTCATGGGCTATTGACTCACAGCCCATTAGGGCTCGAAGAATAATTTTTAAATATGTATGATAATTAGCCTTTCTGACCTCGTTAGCATGTGCAAAATACAAAAGAATTATTTTTTTCAAACGAGGTCAGAAAGGCTAATTATTATACATAAAAAAGAATATTTTAATAGGGCGCCATTATGAAAGAGGTCTATAAGACTAAAAAGAATAAGCTCTTGAAATCACTCATTTGACTTTCATTGCTCTGCAATAACTAGAAACATGCTTAAAAGTAGATATCCCGATTATTGTAGTGGCCCAAAAAGCACGGTGCAAGAGATTTGCAACAAAACTTTGGCGTATTCTTATTCCGGAATTAGATCAATCGAAAGCACCCTAAAGGCTGGTTTTCAGTAGCGACGGAGTCGGAGTCCTAATCAGAAGCGTAGAGCTTATGAACTAGTGAAAACAGCGTTCCGTTTCCGCTTACGACTCCGTCGTTTACGTTTCGCTTAAGATCAAGTGAAAACCAGATATATATATATCAGCCATATAATACGGATAATCACTATACCTATGTGGCTTGCATTTTATTGCCGAGAACGAGGTATAATTGAATGCTGATATATTCTGTAGACCAAGCTCCTGGCATGTGTCTTCTGCGAAGGAAAAAAGCTTCTTCTCAGTTTATAAGAAATTAGATTTGGGATTTGAATCCTCAGCATGTAAGACAACCATACAATCTGAAAATTTTAGATGTTGAACAGCAGTTATTGTACACTTTACGATATCATCGGCAGATATTACGATGTTATCCGTATCTAGATTCAAAAGTAACACCAGTTCAGTAATCCTTCCTGGAGACCTAGTGGCTGCTAATGGGAAGGAAATATTTACGGGCAAAAGAAGGACAACAGGGCAAAGGTTCGGGGGGAGTCTGGGCACTAACTCTCACCAAACCGCTTCCAAAAACTTTCGAATACGCTTATATTGATTGGCCAGTCATACATACATAAGATAGCGGAGAAAGTCTCATGATCAAAGCAGCGGCAGGGTAGGATCTAACTTAACAATCGCCTCAGCCAATACCATTGAATCGCGTTTTCTGACGACCTCACAACTGAATTCTCCTTAAATATCTATTTAAAAGCAAGTAACACTCTTACCTGAATAACCTCGAACGGAAGCCACGAGCCTCAATTGCACAAGTACCACGATAAACGTCACGAAACAAAGAAGAATAAAAAGCATCTAGGTAAATAATAACAGAGATAGCGCTAAAGAGTAAAATCCCATGCGATACATGTACTTAAATTAAGCACAATGTCATATTAAGTTTACCAGGTACATTTAGTAGTGTTTCACTTGCGATTGATGTACTGCCTTTCGGTTAAACTGCAGATACCTAAAATCGAGGGTACCCAATAGACTTTTCAGGAAACAGGATTTGCGTCATTTGAAATCCAGAATTCGTTATTTTGAAGCAAGATGATAATTAAGCATATTTAATGATAATTAATTTATTTTGAAGCAGCATGATAATTCAGCATAATGTCATATTAAGTTTACCAGATACCTTCATGAGTGTTTCACATGCAAGTGATGTAGTGAGTTTGAGTTTCGTAAGAACGAATTTGAAAGTGAGAGGGCACGACTGTTGTGGGCCAAGACCCCTCCCCCCCCCCCCCCCCCC